CTCCCTGCGCGCAAAAGGATCCACGGAGCCTCGACAACTCCATGGGAGTGATCGAAAATTGTCTGAGTCCTCAAACAATGATTTAAGCGGAGCTGTGCCTGGGAAACTGTCCAGCCTACACCGCGACCATCTTCGGTGTAAGCAAACAATCTTGAATCAACCATTATGCGTCCGTGCCTAATTCTAGCGTGCCGCCTGTTTTCTCCGACCCAGCGTGCCCGGGCTGCTGGCCACAGCCCGCGTAGCGCGAAAAAGGGCCCAGATCGCTCCCGGCCCGCACAGTGCTCACTGTCCTCATGCAGATCAGCAGCCCTGCACTGCTGGGACTGGGGAACGCCGGTACAAGACTTGTGCTAAGATAGGGAAGATCAGGGTCCTGCAATAGTAAATCAAGAGATTCCCTGTTCTCCCTGAGCGCGTCTGCACTCACAGAAGAGGGCTCTCTGTACGAGCAGGACCAGAACAGACCTCAGGTGCCCTCTCTGCAACTGGTACACACAGGGATGCTCTGGTCTGAGCCAGGGAGCTGGTTAGGGACATGGTGCTTCCTCCAGCGCTTGGTGAGTTGTGTTTATATTCACAGGGCAGGGCTGTCATTAGCTCCTTCCTTGGTGCCTGTGCCCTGTTCCCCAGGGAAGGTCCCTTTACATGGAGCTGCTGGTTTGCATGTGACTGCCCCAGTGACTGCGCCCTGCTCTGGGGAGCAGCTATAAAGGGGCCGGTTTAACGCTTGGTGTCTCTCAGCTCCGTGTCAGTCGGTGCAGAAGCAGCAAGATGCTGTGGCAGACTCAGCTCCTCTGGCTCCTCCTGCTCTGGGCAAAGAGTAAGGACAGCAGCAGGACAGAGATGTTTGCAAAACAATTTTAATTTTAAAAAATTCAATGACTCTTCTGGAATTATATAGGATATTTGGGTGGAGGGATTGGGTTATCCATACATAAGAGTGCTTATTTCTTTTAACATTTTTGGGAGCCGAAATACATTTAAGATTTATGAAAGAACATAGGAGGAGAAACATTCAAACAAAAATAGAGAACCACTTCTCTTTCTTAATCATAGTTTAATTTTCATTATTTATGTGAATTGTTTGTTCCGTGTTAATTGTTTCTCTCATTGCAGGCTCCAGCAGGGACATTGTTGTGACTCAGACTCCAGAGTCCCTGGCCGTGTCCCCAGGAGACACAGTCACCATCAAGTGCAAAACCAGCTCCAGTGTTAGCAGCTACATGGCCTTGTACCAGCAGAAACCAGGGCAGGCTCCTAAGCTCCTTCTCTACTACACAAGCAATCGCCCCTCAGGGATCCCCGAGCTGTTCAGTGGCAGTGGGTCTGGCACTGACTTCACTTTCACCATCAGCCGGGTTGAAGCTGGTGATGCTGGAGATTATTACTGCCAGCAGTATGGTAATACCCCTCTCACAGTGCTACAGCCCAGTACAAAAAGCTCCCTGCTCGGTTCAGGTCCTGCTGTTCCCAGCACCAGCTGCTTCCTGCCCAGCCACAGCCCAGGGACTCGGCTGACACACAGCAGCACAGCCACATGCTGCTCACATTCGTACCCTGCACCCAGCACTTCCTTCGCTCTGTCACAGCCCTTCCCCATTATCTCACAGCCAGGGACTCCTGATGTGGGTCTCCACCGTCTTCCTTGTCCTTGTGAAGTTCTTCTCCTTGTCAGTATGAACATGCAATGTCCCCCTGGTGCCTGGTGCGATCAGCCGATCTCCTTGTTTGTTCTTACTACCTTGAAAAGTCAAAACTTGCTAAAGTGTTGGGGACATTAGCCTTGATCTTTGGAGAACCAAACTGAAATACGAGCTCTCCCACAGACATCGCACTACATCCATTTACTTTACATTTCTGAACGCCACAGACAGAGTCTCACATGTGCAACTTTTGCCCTTACACGCTGTAGCGATTCCCTTGTACAGGGACGCTTACCCACTCCTGTATTTTCCCTGTGGGATCTGGGCTGACATGCAGTTTCCAGGATCTGGGCCCTCTCCAGTGTTCCTGACAGGGCAGAACAGCCCTCCCCTTCTCCACTTTATCCACTGAATCTTGAATGCAAGGTCCAGAAAAGCCATGGAGGGCTTTGGACCAGAAGCCAGCACCTCCCACCCACACCCACCCAACAGTGAAGCATCCACCTCTCAGCCTCACTCTCTTGGGGTTCTTGCCTCTTCCTGCTCTGACACATCTTTCCCTGTATCCAGCCCAGGACCCCAGCTGCAAGGGGAGGGCTGGAGCCTGTTCTGGGCTGTGTCCACCCCACAGACTGGTGCTTAAGGCACTTTCTGGGATGTAAATGTTGCAGGATCAAAACCCCTGTAAGTGAGGAGAACGAGAGCCTGGGCCTCTCGCTTCCTGGGAAAGTGCCCACAGCCCGTGGGGTACCACTGTGTCTTGTCCCGTTGTCTAAGTGGTCGTTATCTGGCAGTCTTGAGGGCACTCATGGCACTTAGCATTCCCAGGGCTGGAAAAGGACCAACGATTCCCCCTTTTTAGTAAAGGCCAATAGAAGGACCCCGGCAATGATGGACCGGTCGGCCCGACCTTCATACTGGGGAGTTACCAAGTAAATTATCAAGAAGTCCATTTGCAAGCATCAGGGGGAGGAAAGGCTGATTGGTGAGCTGCATCTGGCCCGCGGGCTGCATTTTGCCTGCCCCTGGTATAAACACAAGGCAGAGGCAGGGAAGGAAACGAGAGCTGAGGCTGCGGTGAGCAGCCTGGTGGGGTGTTGCCGAGGCAGACAATAGGGATTCAAGCAAGAACCTGCAGCCCTAGAGAAAGCAAAGCAGGACCAGGAGTGAGTGGAGGGGGAAAATCACACACAAAGGGTGCTTGATGCTCGCTGCCCCCCAGGTCTCAGCATCAAGGGAAGGGGGTCACTAGGGTATCACTGGTGCTGAGAGAAAAGAAGGAGACCTGGGAAAAGGACTTCCCCACCATATGTGCCATGCCCTGAGGACCTGGAGGTGGTATCTGCCTTCACAGCTGAGGCTCTCCGCCCTTTCCCTGCAGTCTCTGTCCTGGACCCAAGGGGAAGGCAGACTGGCATCGAGCTGCTCCTTTGCATAGGACCGCCACAAGTGCTTCTCTCAGTCAGGAAATGGTGATGAACTCATCCATCAGGGCTGTCTGTACCCCAGCCCTGCAGTCTCTGTCTCGGGCCCCAGGGAAGGTCCCTTTACATGGAGCTGCTGGTTTGCATGTGACTGCCCCAGTGACTGCGCCCTGCTCTGGGGAGCAGCTATAAAGGGGCCAGTTTAACACTTGGTGTCCTTCAGCTCCGTGTCAGTCGGTGCAGAAGCAGCATGCTGTGGCAGACTCAGCTCCTCTGGCTCCTCGTGCTCTGGGTGCAGGGTAAGGGCAGCAGCAGAGTGGGCGTCAGCTCAAAAACTGCCAAGTTTAGACTGTGTTTCTGGCAGTATATATGCAATATGGAGACAGGCAGACAGGAGAACATGCACTTTATTTCACTGGAGAATATTTGAGGAACACACACGCACACACACACACACACACACACACACACACACGAGTGTTGAGAAAGTCTCTGCTGTGTGACTTGATGGAGAAAGGACATTATGCCATCCCTGAGACAAGGCAGTGATCTGTAGGTCCCCATGGAACCTGTACCAAGCCCGGACAGCTGGGGGATGCTGGGAAGTGTAGCCTGTCACTCAGGGGGAGGACTGTAGTCCTGTCTCACAGCCTCCCCACCAGTTCTATGCATGCCCCTCATTCCTGACCCGCAGCCCTTGCCCCCAGGTCTGCTGGTACCCTTCACTCCCCACCCACAGCCCATACCCCCCAGCCCCCGCCACCCTGCTGGTGCCTCTCACTCTTGCCAGCCCTTCCCCATTATCTCACAGCCAGGGACTCCTGATGTGGGTCTCCACCGTCTTCCTTGTCCTTGTGAAGTTCTTCTCCTTGTCAGTATGAACATGCAATGTCCCCCTGGTGCCTGGTGCGATCAGCCGATCTCCTTGTTTGTTCTTACTACCTTGAAAAGTCAAAACTTGCTAAAGTGTTGGGGACATTAGCCTTGATCTTTGGAGAACCAAACTGAAATACGAGCTCTCCCACAGACATCGCACTACATCCATTTACTTTACATTTCTGAACGCCACAGACAGAGTCTCACATGTGCAACTTTTGCCCTTACACGCTGTAGCGATTCCCTTGTACAGGGACGCTTACCCACTCCTGTATTTTCCCTGTGGGATCTGGGCTGACATGCAGTTTCCAGGATCTGGGCCCTCTCCAGTGTTCCTGACAGGGCAGAACAGCCCTCCCCTTCTCCACTTTATCCACTGAATCTTGAATGCAAGGTGCAGAAAAGCCATGGAGGGCTTTGGACCAGAAGCCAGCACCTCCCACCCACACCCACCCAACAGTGAAGCATCCACCTCTCAGCCTCACTCTCTTGGGGTTCTTGCCTCTTCCTGCTCTGACACATCTTTCCCTGTATCCAGCCCAGGACCCCAGCTGCAAGGGGAGGGCTGGAGCCTGTTCTGGGCTGTGTCCACCCCACAGACTGGTGCTTAAGGCACTTTCTGGGATGTAAATGTTGCAGGATCAAAACCCCTGTAAGTGAGGAGAACGAGAGCCTGGGCCTCTCGCTTCCTGGGAAAGTGCCCACAGCCCGTGGGGTACCACTGTGTCTTGTCCCGTTGTCTAAGTGGTCGTTATCTGGGAGTCTTGAGGGCACTCATGGCACTTAGCATTCCCAGGGCTGGAAAAGGACCAACGATTCCCCCTTTTTAGTAAAGGCCAATAGAAGGACCCCGGCAATGATGGACCGGTCGGCCCGACCTTCATACTGGGGAGTTACCAAGTAAATTATCAAGAAGTCCATTTGCAAGCATCAGGGGGAGGAAAGGCTGATTGGTGAGCTGCATCTGGCCCGCGGGCTGCATTTTGCCTGCCCCTGGTATAAACACAAGGCAGAGGCAGGGAAGGAAACGAGAGCTGAGGCTGCGGTGAGCAGCCTGGTGGGGTGTTGCCGAGGCAGACAATAGGGATTCAAGCAAGAACCTGCAGCCCTAGAGAAAGCAAAGCAGGACCAGGAGTGAGTGGAGGGGGAAAATCACACACAAAGGGTGCTTGATGCTCGCTGCCCCCCAGGTCTCAGCATCAAGGGAAGGGGGTCACTAGGGTATCACTGGTGCTGAGAGAAAAGAAGGAGACCTGGGAAAAGGACTTCCCCACCATATGTGCCATGCCCTGAGGACCTGGAGGTGGTATCTGCCTTCACAGCTGAGGCTCTCCGCCCTTTCCCTGCAGTCTCTGTCCTGGACCCAAGGGGAAGGCAGACTGGCATCGAGCTGCTCCTTTGCATAGGACCGCCGCAAGTGCTTCTCTCAGTCAGGAAATGGTGATGAACTCATCCATCAGGGCTGTCTGTACCCCAGCCCTGCAGTCTCTGTCTCAGGCCCCAGGGAAGGTCCCTTTACATGGAGCTGCTGGTTTGCATGTGACTGCCCCAGTGACTGCGCCCTGCTCTGGGGAGCAGCTATAAAGGGGCCAGTTTAACACTTGGTGTCCTTCAGCTCCGTGTCAGTCGGTGCAGAAGCAGCATGCTGTGGCAGACTCAGCTCCTCTGGCTCCTCGTGCTCTGGGTGCAGGGTAAGGGCAGCAGCAGAGTGGGCGTCAGCTCAAAAACTGCCAAGTTTAGACTGTGTTTCTGGCAGTATATATGCAATATGGAGACAGGCAGACAGGAGAACATGCACTTTATTTCACTGGAGAATATTTGAGGAACACACACGCACACACACACACACACAC